TCAGATACCATTTTTTCAAATAACTACTTGTTGCTTCTTAAAAATGAGGAACAACTTCAGGTGTACAAGAGTATACCTAATATTAAACACTCCCACATCCAGGTACCACCATGCAGTTTTAGAAATAACAAATGTTAGAGTTGAAGTCCCTCTGGACCTCTGCCTAATCACCTCTTCTTCCATTTCTCTTCAGAGGTAACAGCTATACTGATTTTGCTGATAGTCATTCTCATGTATGTTTTTATACTTCAGTTACACATGGATGTATATATAAATGATACATTCTATATTTTGGGGATTTTTGAAATTTTATAGAAATGATTTGACTCTGGGAAATTTCTGCTGTTGGCTTTTTTCACTTCATATTATGTTTTTAGATTCAGTCATGTTGATACCTGTGACTCTTGTTCACTGCTCCTGGATATCCCCTGTATACCAAGGTATTCTCCCACTGGGGGACATTCCCATTGTTGCTAGTGTTTTGCTCTAGACCTTTAAAGAGCAGGCCTCCCCCAGGGAGACATGGACATTCTTATACACATCTCTTTGGAAGACCTGATCTTTAAATGCCAAGTTTGATTTTTGACCCCTTTTTGAATTAGTCTTTGTGAATCTGAATAAGTTGCTCTATCTCCCTGGGCCTCAGTTTGCTTAGGCACAGAGGGAGAACTGAACTAAATAATCTCTAAGGTTCTTTCCAAGCCTAGAATTCTGTGATTCCTTTCCAGCTTGCTTCTCTCCCTCCTTATAGTGTATAGTGTGTATCAGTTATGAGCAACTGCTTAGCATGAGAATCAGTTCAGAAAAAAAAAAATCTGTGTGTGTATGTAGTTAAATTCAAAATGAAAATGACTTTGAGTCCCTTGGGAATGTTTTCTTACAATGTAGATTTCCTGTTCTATTGATTAGATAAATATTAATAACAAAACTGGCACTGCTTTAAAGCCATCAGAAAGTTAATGTTGGGGCTTATTCTAGTAAACATGGAAGCAGTGTTGGAGTCTTGTCTCCTGAGCGTGGATGTTGGGCTGTATTACCAGCTGGGCAGGCTGCATGAAGCCTGGTGGCTGATGGATTGCTTATGAGTTGGGATGACTCAGGGTCGTCATTTTGAACATGAGTTATCGTATTATGTGTTGCCAAGAAATGATGCTTTCTAAAAGACTGTTGAAATATGAAGGGCTTTTTTTTTTTACCCTAAGCGTAATGCCCTTCAGAAGCTATGTTTTTGAGATTGTATAGTCTTTTTAAATGAAAGAAAAAAAAAAGTTGCTCCCTTCCTGCCAGAATGAGCTGTAGTTCTTGCTGCTATTGATATGACAGCCTGCTCCTTCTTTGCAGCCTCTAATCATCCGAGTCTAGGGCACAGGCCAGCGCTTTGGAACTGTAGTCTCAGGGACTCTCGGGCAGTGAAGATCACAGTTTAGCGCAGAGATGTCGTGGCAACTACCTGGGTTGCTCATTGTCTTTTTTTTCCTTCATATTTTCTGTTTGTGGCTGAACACTAGATGAAATACTAGAGTTATTATCAAACTTGGTAACTTACACGTCATGGTAGTAGTGATAGCTGTTATGATTTGTCCATTTCATATAGCTATGAATATAACATTTTACTAATTGATAGATTGGAGTGTTATTCTAACAGATACTATGATCAATTCAACAGCTTTTCCACTCTCTCCAATTTTTAGCAGTCCTGTGGGTCAGGAAAGTGACCCAGCTCCAGGGATGGGTCTTGATCAATCTAAGTTTAGGGATGAGTTTAGATTAACCCAATCTTGGTGACTGCCCATGGCCGTGATTGGTTCCGGAACTCAGCATTAGCCCCTAGAACATGACATTTCGTGGTTATAATTCTAGAAATGAAACATGAAGGAAAGGTCGCTGGAGGCTTTGGGGAAACATTTCCTCCCTTTGAAGTGAGAGGCACAGGAAGATGATCTCTTTTCTTCTCAGTATTGCTGTTGTGGTCAGGAACCGTTATCAGTCAGGGGATGAAATTGACACTCCCAAGGCGACAGAGCCAAAGGAGGTACAGAGAAATGAGCCGGAACTACTGGATTGAGCCATCCCTGAACCTCAGCTCATCACTGGGCTTACTATATGAGTCAACAAATTACCTTAAGCTAGTTTGATTTGAGGTTTCTATTATTTGCAGCAGAGAGCATCCTAATTGATATAATTACATTACTGTATTATGACTGGTTATTCTAATTCTGGAGTAGTCTCAGGAAGTTATCTTCTCTTTAAATTTTAAAGTGAATGTTAATCCACCATATAGTCTACTGCTGTTATTGCCAAACTAGTTGTAATGTAACGATCTTGATTTTCATATTGTAATAGATTTCTTAGCATCCTTACTATTGTTGCTATAGTACACTAAGAAAACTTTGAACTTCCAAGGTGTTCTTAGTTCTCCCCACATTTAGTAGAATGTAACCTTTACTTACTTGCATAAGAGTATTTAACCTTTTATTATCTACTGTATACATGTTTCTGTATGCAATCTAACTAGGAAAGAGAGGATGGACCCTTTGCTTGATTTGAGAGCAATTCAGAGCAATGTGTTAACAAAACCAAATAACACAGGATTAAGCCAGGACTTGCCATGTCAGGGATGGACATGGCCAAGGAGAGAGCTGAGGGAGGACGGGGGTGGGGGAGGGCCCATGGGTGGAGTGGCATCCTCGGGGAAGACTGCCACGTGAGGTGGCCATGCACATGCAAGGGGAGGAGGTGTGGGGCAGGTGGAGAGAGGCTCTGAGGGTGGCAGGGTCAGGAGAGCAGTGCCTCCGAGAGGCTGTATTGCCAGGCAGAGGAAGTTGGACCCATAGCTTCTTAAATAGTGAAGTGTTATTACCACAGAGATGGTTAACACGGCACGCAGGGGAGCTAGTCCAGGGAGAGAGGTTGGCACTGAGTCCTGGGAAGCTGTTACCATACTTCATGCGTCAGGTGACAAGAGCTGTAGGATAATAGCGTCTGAGTATGTAATACCTTACGTCGATATGGAATTTCAGAGTTCCCAAAGCACATTCAAACACGTTATCTAATTTATCTATTTACGGCCCCTCACCCTTTTTTATGGATGAAGATACAGAGGTTCAGAGCAGTTAAGAACCTCCCAAAAGTTGTCAATTACAGAACCCAACCTACAGTCTATAGGTCTTTGGACTTTCAGGTCTAGTGCTTTTCAGTAATAATATAAGCGACATTTTCCATTATTAGTGAAATTCTAGTTGTGCTAATTTGACTCGGCTCTGTGCATTTGTCTATCAGCTGGCTCCTGACAGCAGTGTAAACAAAAGCTAAACACCACTGCTCCTAACTCTTCTAAACACTGAACACCTCTGAATAGTGAAAAGATGGTGAAGTATCACAGATAAAGGTAGGACCTCCTCAAATTACAGAAAGGTAATTCTTCTGACAAATACAAAAAACAAAAGGCGGGGTGCGGAGAAAGTTTCCTAAATGTTTTAAATGAATGGAAAGTGCCTGAGACTTTAGGGAGCCTCCAAGTGGCAGCCTTTTTGGGTGCTCTCAATATTTATATGTAGAAACATTGTAGTAACATAGCTATTGAAGGCTTTTCTCCCCCAAGAATAACTGCATTTAATGTTTAAGTCAATTTAGCGGATACGTAATTGACACGTTTTCATGAAATGTCATGGAAACCGCTTTTAAGGGGTTCTGAACAGAATGCGAAAGAATAGAAAAATAAAAGCTGAGTGGCCAGATGATAAAGATTTAGCAAATTGCATCCAGGTTGTATTCATTAACTTGTCCCTTCAGAGAGTAGCAGCTTATTCCTGATAAGTGTAGAGCATTCTGATATTTGTCAAGGACTTTGTGGTTCTTTGTAATTGAAATTGCTAAATAAGTTTTGAACTACCAAAGTGCCGGGGCGGGGCGGGGGGGGGGTGGTTGGAATTGGTGAGGGAGTGTTGGACTTTTAACTGCCAGGGCCCCCAAACAACTTTCACGTGGTACCTATCTGGCCCACTTGAGTGCTACTTACAGGTTAGAATCACCTGGAGAGCTTTTAAAATTACCAGTGCACAGATCCTAGCCTTGACCAACTAAGTCAGAATCTCAGAGTTTGAGGAAGGGAGCAGACCTAGTCATAAGTAGTTTTTTAAAGTTCTCCAGGTAATCCTAAAGTTCAGCTAGGGCTAAAAAGCTTATTCTAGCTATTTTGGCTCCAGCCAGTAAGCTGCAAGAAACATTTATTAAAATGTACATACGAGGGGCGCCTGGGTGGCTCAGATGGTTGGGCATCTGCCTTCAGCTCAGGTCATGATCCCAGGGTCCTGGGATCCAGCCCCATGTCCGGCTCCTGGCTCGGCGGAGAGCCTGCTTCTCCCTCTCCCTCTTTCCTCTTCCCCCTGCTCATGCTCTCTCTCTCTCTCTGTATCTCTGCGTCTCGAATGAATAAATAAAATCTTTTTTAAAAAATGAACATACGATACTTGCTAGCTTTATAAAATAAATATGTAGGTTTTCCCATCCCTGAGCTCAAATAGGCAGGTTTGGGGGCTTAGGGTTTTGTTTTTCTCCTTAGCCAGTTGCAGATCCTAAAGAACACATGGCAGGAGATGGAGGAAGACATTCTAAAGAGGTCCCATGGTGTTTTTTTAGGGAAGGATGGGGCAGGAAGGGTAGGAATCATTGTTTATGTGTTTCAGGAAGCAGAAAATATGGCATGTTCCAAGTCTATCTAAATTATGTAACTTTGAGGGATGTGATCCATTTGGATCAAAATAATGAGGCATATAATACATTGCATTTAACATGTGTGGGAATTCTTTGCAGAGTAATTAGCATTCCTTTCTTCAGCCTGTATTCAGAGGAAACATACCATTCACACCCTCTCTGTGTTCACATTTTCCAGTGCGTTGGAGAGCTTTTTTTTTTTTTCAATAGAAATCTTTGTCCTTTTCCTAATAAGACTTGAATTATATTTGGAGAAATTCAGCATTTCTTTTTCTTTTTTCTGGCAGGAATTGATTTTAAAATCAGAACGATAGAACTAGATGGAAAGAAAATTAAGCTTCAGATATGGTAAGTAAAAAAAAAAAAAATTATACACAGTTTCTTCCTTAATCGGGAATTGAAAGTGGGAATTAAAATGTGAACTGTGGTAAGTTAGAGGTAGCTTGTGATAGTTAAAACATCTTTTCTTTACCAGAACCAAGGGAAGTGATTAAGTATTCAAAGGTATCTCCACCAAGAACGGGAAGGTAAGGAATGATCTTACAGCTGGAAGAGATCTGAGAACTCATTCTTCCCAGACACTAATTTTGTAGGGAAGAAAAGAAAAACTAAAGAGTGTATACGCTTTTTCATTGTAGTTGTTGCAGCCTTGAAATCAGGTAAGGCAAAAGTAGTCCCATGGTAGGAACCCTGAGCGGGTTCTTCTATGGAAGTACTAGATCTAGGTTCTAGGTTCTGCCTCTCAACTGAGGGCCTGGGCCAGTTGCTTCCCTTCTTAGGGCCTGTTTTTCCTCAATGGTAAATTGGTTGGTGAGCCTAAAGACATCTGAGTTCTCCTCCAGATCTAACACTTTATCATTTGTTTTCATGTTTCTTCTCTTCAAATAAAAAAAAATGAGGACCACCAAACCGATCTAATTGTGTGATGATGACAGCAGGAGACAAAGCTTAGAAATTTAGAGATTACGAAGCAGGCAGGGCAAAATAGTAAAGTAATGTATATCAGCTTTTTTCTTAGGCTGTTTTTCTTCTTTAAATCTCAGAACCAGGACAGAACTAGAGCATCATATTGAGATCCACTGGTCCTTCTTTTACAGAGGAAGAACTTAGAACTTAGAGTGGTTAAGTCCATCTGAGGGCATCTCTGTGGGTCAGTGATAAAGCTGAGACAACTCCCCAAATCTGGAGCAATGTGTCAGCTTTATATATTAGCCTAGTGTAGTGGGTCCCGGTGTATTCATTGGAAAACATGGTGAATGCCACCACAGGTTGCCCTTTTCAAAGCCAATTTTTTTTTTTTTTTTAAGATTTTATTTATTTATTTGACAGAGAGAGAGAGACAGCGAGAGCAGGAACACAAGCAGGGGGAGTGGGAGAGAGAGGAGCAGGCTTCCCGCCGAGGAGGGAGCCTGATGTGGGGGCTCAATCCCAGGACCCTGGGATCATGACCTGAGCTGAAGGCAGACGCTTAACGACTGAGCCACCCAGGTGCCCCAAGAGGCCAAATATTTTAAAGACATTAAAAAAAATTAAAGGGAGAAGCAAAGAGAATTTCTGACTCTGTGCTGAACAGTCCTGACCATAGCAGTAAGAAGCGTTTCTAGGAGCCTGTGGGCAGTCAGCTAGCAGTCAGCTAATTTAGAACTTAATATAACATCAGAGCACTATTTATCAATACTCTCAGCAGCAAAATAAGACTCCATTTAGGCTTCACAACCTGTATTTAGTATGGCAGGGGTTCTCCTCTATCCTCCCTGCAGAGCTGGTTCTAAATCAAGTAGTGTGTTAGACCAAAATATGGTTAGTTGGCTCAAAGATGCTTGGCTTCTGTTTTCCCCATTGATGTGTTTGCCATATACCAAACAAGTGCCCTGGGCATCTAATCCTGATCAGTGAGAGAATGGCAGGATAAGATGACTGTGGTGGGAAGCCTGGCCCTGCCCTCAACAGCTGAGACCTAGGAGGCTTGAGGGTCATTCCAGGGGCTTAGCTATTTAATGGTCCAGTGGCAGACCATAGCCCAGCTGAGCCTATTGTCTCTTCTGCAGAGTGAGGATGAGCGTCCTACCACTACACCGGGCTGTGGTGGGCATCACTTGAGCACAGACTAACGTATTTTGTAGGGTATATATAAATATTAAGGTATATTATTAATGTTTTTAATTTTCTCTATTTCCCTGGGGCCTCCATCTCTTGTTTAGGTTGGTGTGCATTAGACTTCTAGTGTATTTCCACAAATGCCTCTTTCTCCCCTGCAATTAAATTGTACAATTTAGTTTGCCTTAGCAGCACAGGGAGTGCATTAGTTCTGGTGGTGTGTGGCAAATTTAGAAATACTGACTTACCCAGATATCCAGGAAATTTGACTCCCTTTATAGGGATTGCTTCAATCAATGTAATGAGAAATTCTTGAATTTTTCAGAATGGATTTTAAGAGAATGCCATCAGCCAAAAAGCAAGAATACATGAAAGTGCATGTAATTTTGAGGTGTTGTTCATATTTTAAAGTCTCTGGACACATTGTCAACCATTATGTTTGAAACTCCAGGCTCCCATTCAATCCCAGGCTCTGTAGCTGACGAAGTTCTTGAGGAGATCCATTTTAAATGGTGTGCTCTGCTGAGCAGAATTCACACAATAGTAAGTCCAGCCCAACAGCTTGCTTTGTACAGAAATCAGACTTTCAGTCAAGAGAGCAAAATGCCTTAATCATGAGGCATTTATAAAAAGGATTATAACTACTTGCAGGGGTCCAAGAATTTAGAACTATTCTCTATTCTCTCCCACGTGGGTTTGACTAATAGAATATGCCCGTTCCTAGCAGGGCCATGTATTTTCTCGTTGCCTCTTTTATCATCAAGGTCCGAGTTTCCCGCCAAAGTCATCGTGAGCTCCTGACAGGCCCCTGTGGCCGCCTCCGCCTCCAGCTCACAGACGCATGGCAGGCTCCCTTTGCGTCTCATTCCCCTTCCCCTTGAAATCACTGCCTTTGTGAGCCGCCCAGGATTCTCTCCACAGTTTAAGGTCTCTCCTCAGTGATGCTGGTGATAACTTTTAAAACCACTCTCTCCTTTGTTTCAAATTTTAGGGACACAGCAGGTCAGGAAAGATTTCGAACCATCACAACGGCATACTACAGAGGAGCCATGGTGAGTGTGTTTTAGGGTTTTGTAACTCTTCAGGTGAAAGGAAAACATGAATATTCATTTGTCAGGTTTCTAGGATCCAAGCTAGAGTCTAGTACAATGGGGGAGATAGGTTTTGGAATGTGAAAACAAGACATTTAAAGGGTTTTTCTATGTTGTGTTTAGTAACTGCATGCTTTGACATTGGTCTTTCGTAATATCCGTGAGGTAATTAGCTTATAGACATTTTGGAACTCCTCCACACTTTCTGAGCAATTGTATATCTTAGTGAAAGCTGGGAGACCAATTAAAGACAATGACAGTAATTCAGGTAAAGGCTAATAGACGAGAATATGAACAAGGCCGTGCATGGGAGTTGTGGGGTCAGAATCGGGAGATACTGTGGTTGTCGGGCCTACAGGACTTGGTGACTCCCTGGCTGTGAGGAGGTAACTCCCAGGGGTCTGCTTTGGCTGGCTGGCAGGGTTGTATTGCCCTTTATCAAAACAAGAGTACAAGGAGGAAGACAAGATTTGGAGGGGACGAAGGCAACCTTGTGTTTTACTTAGTTGAGTTTTTGGTGACCACATGGGACATTTGGGAGCTGATACCGGGTCATTGGTCTCCAAAGCACATCTGACCCTATCTCTCTTTTTGGCTTCACCTTGTGCCCTTCTCCCGTTGGATCTGTGCACTCTTACCACGCTGACTCTTTCAGTCCAGTGGGTTCTGGGCCATTCTGGTCAGCAGGATACTTAAAACATTTCTGCTCTGTGCCAGGCTGAGAGCTGTGGGCACTATGGGCTTTCCCTCTTCACCCCAGCCTCAACCCCATGGCCCAGTTCAAGTCTACTCAGACCTCAGGTCTTGGCTTTAATGTCATTTTTTCAGGGAAGCCTTCCCTGACTGCCCCATCCCCTCAGCCAGATTAGATCCACATTTGTACTCAAAACTCCCCATACTTCTTCATAGCAGTTGTCAAAGTTATAACTAAGTGTATAATTATTGGTTTATTGTTTTCTTTGCTAGCTGTCCATGAGAGGAAGGGGCCTTGTCTAACTTGTCCACGGCTGGTAGCACAAAGTATAGTCTCAGGCACATGGTGGGTGCTCACTAAATATTTGTTGAATGGACAGATGGCTAGGTCTAGCACTTAATACAGGAGTATGGTCTGGTGATACAGATTTTGGAATAGTTAGCATACAAGTGTCAGTTGATGCATTTAGGAGATAGATCTTTTAGAAATACCAGACATGAGGGTCTTTAAAAATACGATGACAATCAGTGCCTTTCATTAAACCTGTATAATATTAAGTTTCTGCGATTTATGTAGACAGTGGCATTTTGATCAGCCCATATAAGAAAAAATGATTTTATTTTTTTAAGGATAAAAAAATAATTTTAAAGCAGTATGGTTACGATCTTAGTATAGGAGTAAGAAGCAAGACATTTCTACTTGCAATAATAAAATACACAACGGAAGTGATTATCTCTCTCATCACTATCTCTGTTTTAACTTAAACACTCCTTTAGCTTCATTTGGTGCTGATTCTTACCATGTGCAGTCAGGTAGAAAGGGTGTATCACCTTTACCACAATCACTAATTCATTAAAGGTTAACAGTAAAAAAAACTATTTACATGGTGAGACAGTGGAAGAATTTATCTATTTTTCCTTCTTTGTACTTTAAAATTTTTATTATAAGTCCCTTTTAATTAAAAAGACAAAATAAAGGACAAACAAAAGGTTGGGTTTTGGAGGGTGGGAATATGCTGACATTATATTCTATAACTTTAAATATATGACTTACTAAATAAAGATTTTTCTTACAGGGAATTATGCTGGTCTATGACATCACAAATGAAAAGTCCTTCGACAATATTAAAAATTGGATAAGAAACATTGAAGAGGTATGTATGGAAAGAGAATGATGATACTAGAGAGGAGTCCTGCTGGGTGCTTGCAGAGGGCTCCTTCTGTCTCTGGAAGAGGCAGCTGAGCCGCTGAGAAGTAGGCCAGGGGCAGGTCAGGCCCCCTCACTCTGAGGAGCATGGACGGAGTGATCTCTGGTGCTTCTGTCAGACGGGGAGCTACACACAGAGGAGCAGTCTCACCGAATTTAAAACTTGGGCCGGATCTTGAAAATAATTTAATCAAGTCCCCATTTTACGCATGAGAAAACTGAGGCCGGAAAGGAGAGACTTGCTTGTGCTCCTCTAGCTTTAACATCTGACTTACAGCTTCTTGTTTTCTGACTGGCAAAGGTCTCTCTCTATTCCAGCAACTTCTCATTTTTCCCTTCTAACATTTTCTCCATTGTAGATAGTTGAAATTTGGTTTAATTCCAGATTGACTAGTATTAAGATTTTTTTTTAATGTCTTTGATATTTCAGAAAGAAATTTTTTTTTTTTTAAGATTTTATTTATTTATTTGACAGAGAGGGAACACAAACAGGGGGAATGGGAGAGGGAGAAGCAGGCTTCCCACGGAGCAGGGAGCCCGATGCTGGGCTCGATCCCAGGACCCTGCAATCATGACCTGAGCCAAAGGCAGATGCTTAACGACTGAGCCACCCAGGTGGCCTAAGAAATCTGACTTTAAAATCATTTTGTACACATTTATATTAACCTACATGATTTCATGTTTTAAGTAGCTCAGAATCCAGAATACCTTCCTCATTGGCTCACTCAGTACTGTTTTTTCCTTCTTTGACCCAAACTAATCTTTGGAAGTTTTACTTCTGTTTGTTCGTGTACAAAAAAAGCCATGAGAATGACTGCAAGCCTTTGGGAAAAAGTTTGCATAGGCTCTTATGCAAACTTTTCCCTCCTCCCATCTTTTAAATTTTTCCCTGCATCAAGCCTTGTGTTGAGCAAAAGATTATTTGTCTTATTATTAAATTTATGGATATGTTTCTGACAGGTTAGGATTTGTCTATTGAATAACTGTGTTTTGCTCAGGCTGTTTTTATAACATATTATTTTCTCCCTGCAGCATGCCTCTTCAGATGTTGAAAGAATGATCCTGGGTAACAAATGTGATATGAATGACAAAAGACAAGTGTCAAAAGAAAGAGGAGAGAAGGTAAATTTGAACTGAATGCATGAAGATGGGAATCTATTCGCACTAAGCATTTATTTTCTTAGTATTACTTAATTAATTGACTTCAGTTTGAAAAATATCTGTATTTTAATCCTTTAAAAAAAACAACAAAGAGATGTAATCCCTACTTGCTTGAATGGTGTGAATTAGTATTCGAGATCCAGCTCCATATACTGTGTAGCCATGACTCATTCCTGAAGAATTTGCTGTTTTCTGGGAGATACAAATTAGTCCTTTTTCAGATTCCTGCAGCTTAGAGTTCATGCTATTTCATCCATATCTGTGTGAAAATGCCTAGTTTTAAAGGTCAAATAAATCATTCTCTTCAAATAAAAGTAATCGGATAGGTGAAGTTTAAACAGTAATCATATTCCAATTCATTATTTTTTTCTTAAGAATATTTTATACCATATTAGATTTAGGTCATTATGGATAAACTGCTTGTAACTCATCAAGCTGTGGATGTCATTTATAGGCTTTTCTCTATTTTGTATCCTGCAAAAAAAGCAAGAGTTTATTACATGTACATATTTACTTCTGTGACATTTTCTAAATTAACTTAGAGGCTTCAGTTTTTAAGTCTTGGAATTTTGCTTTAGCCTTTTTTTAGTGATGCATACAAAATGTGTTTTGTTTTTAAATCTGACTGCAAACTTTTTTCCCCTAAGAACATTCATTTAATCTTGTTATTTTAAATAAACTGGGAGCTTTTTGGGAGTAGATGGAAATAGAAACCAAATAAAAATGAAAGCAGTGAGTACTGGCATTTTAAGCTTTCATTCTTTTATGTACCAATTTATTAAAAAATAATGAAAAGTCAGTATAGTAACTGTTGGAGAGTTGTACTTTGGGAGCAGGTGAAAGGGGTCAGTGAATTCCAAATTAATGGTAGGAGCGAGTATCTGTCTCACGATTTTTCTTGTAAGTATATTAGAGAACTAAAGTATAATAGAAAAAAAAGAATAACTTAAGTCATGTTTTGAGTGGAAGTGCTGCCGTTCTACTTATGATGATTAAGTTAGATGTCTACATTTCAAACACAGAAGAAAGCAAAGAAATTTGAGAACCACAGAGTGAGTTCTCAACTAGATCCTCTACCTTTGGGACTATGAACAACCTAGAAAATGGAAGTGCTTTATATGTTGAAGCAACTTGAATGGAATTTAAATGTTTCTGTTTGCCTTTCAGTTAGCAATTGACTATGGGATTAAATTCTTGGAGACAAGTGCAAAATCCAGTACAAACGTAGAAGAGGTAAGAAAGATGTTCGGTGACCTATTCTAGGGCGCATTAGAGCTTAGCTGCCTGTGTTCAAGCAGCTGTCCAAGACTTGTCATTTTCTTAGTGAATGCCTTCTGTGAGCTCCACCTCCATTTTGTGAACTTTCGTGCTTCTGACTTTTATGCAGACCCAGGTTCTTGAATTTCTAGCACCCAGCCCCCACGTGGGCTATATGAGATTGCTCAATTAAGATTCACTGAGCAGAAGGTAGAAGTTCCATTCAAGTTCAGCTTTGCCCTTTGTTCGGGAAGCCAGAAATCCTGCACTTGCCGACCAAAGCACAGTGTTTTCTGCTCATTTATCATGGTTCATGTCATCCTGTGGTAGCCTGTAGCAGGAGAATCTTAATTCCTTTCATGTCTGTACTCTCTCAAGAGAGAATTAAACTGATTATTGAACAGATTCCCTTAGATTAAACATGATACATTGTAACACAACAGCATTTAGTAGAAATAAATGTGTTTATCAGAGAGTAGTTTTAATAAATTTTCAGTAAGTGAATTATTAAAGACAACCAAATCATCTAAAGTCTTCTAAGAATAGATTTTCTTTACCAAGGGCAGAGTTGTTGATAATATTTTCTTTTTTAAAAACATTTTTTAGGGACTCCTGGGTGGCTTAGTTGGTTAAGGGTCTGCCTTTGGCTCAGGTCATGATCCCAGGGTCCTGGGATTGAGTCCTGCATTGGGCTCCTTCTGCTTGTGCGTGTACTCTCCCTTCCTCCCCCACTCTCTCTTTGATAAATAAATAAATAAATAAATAAATAAATAAATAAATAAATAAATAAATTAAATATTTTTTAAACTGGTTGTAAAAATGATGCATGTGTGGGGGTGCTTGGGTGGCTCAGATGGTTAAGTGTCTCCCTTTGGCTCAGGTCATGATCCCAGGGTCCTGGGATCGAGCCCTGCATCGGACTCCTGGCTCAGTGGGAAGCCTGCTTCTCCCTCTCCCTCTGCCTCTCCCCCTGCTCATGCTCTCTTTCTCTCTGTATCTCTGTGTCTCAAATGAATAAATAAAATCTTTTTTAGAAAATGATACATGTGTGTTAATACATATCATTCAATAAACAGTAATATTGATGGTTTTGTAGACATTTAATTTCTTAGGCTACCACCATTCACCATAACATTATGGCTAAAAAATCAAGATTTAAATGACTTTATTGGTTAGGGGACACCGATCAGAACTTTTTCTTTGTTTTCAATAACTAATTTTTTCAGGTTGGCTAATGGGTGTTAGGAAACAGGAAGCTTCTGTTGATTTATTTACACAGTCATAGAAGAGCAGAAAAATGCTTCCTTTTGCTTTGCCCACAAGAGGATTTCCTTCCATCAGAAAGAGGGGAGCCTCTTAAGTAGAAACAGGAGAAAATTTGTGCACTGAAATGACCCAGGTAGAGTCGCTCCCACAAAGTGAACCCATACCCTGGCTTAATGGAGCAGGTTTAAGCCTCTGTTCATGGCTACACCCCGATTGAATCTGTGGCTCACAGAGAGCTTTGAGTTATGGAAGTACAGAGCTGGGAGTTGCCCGAGCTGCTTATTCTGACCAGGTATTCGGCAGAAATTAGCAGTTTTCCCAAAACTTTAATTTAGCGTAGTTAGCTTTTCATAAAAGCTGGGATGGGCTTCTTTAGAAACAGATTCACAGATGACCAGTGTTGACAGTGCAACATTGATAATAAGTGATGATGGTGATTATCATGTTGTTTCTATTCAACTTGATTGGACATAATCCTTCTGCCTAACATCTTTGGGGGGCATCAGAAGTCGTTGGGAGCAAAGAGACTGACAATTGTGTGTTTAGCATGGAGACAACTGAAGACTTTTTTTTTTTTAAGATTTTATTTATTTATTTGACAGAGCACACAGTGAGACACAGCAAGAGAGGGAACACAAGCAGGGGGAGTGGGAGAGGGAGAAGCAGGCTTCCCGCGGAGCAGGGAGCCCGACCTGGGGCTCGATCCCAGGATCCTGAGATCCTGACCTGAGCTGAAGGCAGACGCTTAACGACTGAGCCACCCAGGCACCCCCTGAAGACTCTTTAAAAAAAAGAGTCTTGGCTCTGTAGAGGGGGACCTGGCTGGGTCAGTCAGTGGAGCACACAACTCTTGATCTTGGGGTTGTGAGTTCAAGCCCCATGTTGGGTGTAGAGATTACTTAAAAATAAAATCTTTAAAAAAAAAAAAAGTCTTGGTTCTGTAGAAACAAAGTAGAGATGATAGGTTTAAAAAATGTTTTGTTGGGTCAAGACACCTAGGCACAAAATGTCACTGAGATCAGATTTGTCCTTCTATTTGAGCTGATTTCCACAGTGGGGAATTTAGCTGAGCTAAGACATAGAAGATGAAAAAACTCTCAGGTACAAGAGTGAAAGTATTTTGAAAGAGAAGAGATTGGGGATAAAAGGTAGAGATTTTTGTGAAAACAGATTCTAGAGCTCTAGAGTAATACATAATTATTCATCCAGTTATTAAACAGGTATTCAGCATATTCAAGATAAGACACTGTGCTCTGCTCTGAGGACCTGGGGTGACCTAGAACCTCTGCGCCCCCCCCAGGTGCTTTTGGTGTACTGAGGAAGCTACCTATAACTCAAGAGTGTCACATTAGGAATTTGTGCCAGAGATTATGTGCAGAAAATATTTGATGAATGAATGAATGATGTTTTTTAAATTTTTTACTTCTTTATTTTAGAGAGGGAAAGAGTGTGCATGCGTGAGCAGGGGGAGGAGGAGAGGGAGATAATCTCCAGAAGACCCCGCACTGAGCGCAGAGCCTGACCCGCAGCTCAGTCCCCCAACCCCAAGATCACGACCCAATCTGAAACCAAGAGTCGGATGCTCAACCAACTGAGCCATCCAGGCGCCCCGTGAATGACAGTTTTATAATACTGGGAAGTGTTTATGATATCATTGAAAAATAAGATAAAATACTCAAGTGTATACTACGATTACAGTTATGTTCTTTTCTCAATCAAAAAGTGTCAAATAGGGCGCCTGGGTGGCTCAGTTGGTTAAGCGACTGCCTTCGGCTCAGGTCATGATCCTGGAGTCCCGGGATCGAGTCCCGCATCGGGCTCCCTGCTCGGCGGGGGGTCTGCTTCTCCCTCTGACCCTCCCCCCTCTCATGCTCTCTGTCTCTCATTCTCTCTCTCAAATAAATAAATAAAATCTTAAAAAAAAAAAAGTGTCAAATAATGTTTTATAATGAAATAATGAAAAATTCTACATTTCTATTTTAAAATATAGACATATATTAATAATTTTTTTGGTTTACCTTTAGGCATTTTTTACACTTGCACGAGATATAATGACAAAACTCAACAGAAAAATGGTTTGTATCACTTACAATTTTTATTTTCATTATGCTATTTGTTAAATTTGTTCTATTTTTGCTGTTTATTTATTTGAATAAAAAGGATAGGCCTGATTATAACATATTCACATTGACTCATTTTTTTCCTGACTCACGTATTCACCTGGTTGAATTTTGATTCTCCTGTTTCTTCACGTTTCTTCCTTCTGTCCTGCGGCTGCTTCCGTTCTTTCATCTGACTCTGTAGGTGGTCTTTAATGGAATTCTGGCCAGAATAATTAAAATAATAATGGCACAAATTTAATTTTTGCCATAAAATTATCTAGTTCCGTTTTAATGTGACAGATATTTATCTCTGTATATAATTGTGATCATAAAGTTGCTAAATTCGCTTAAATTAGAAATGATGTCAGTGATGAATCATTAGGCCCACCTGGAAAGTTTGTTTTCACCAGAATCCTGAATATAATTTTAGACCTTACATTAGCAACTGTTCTTACCTCTGGTAAGAGGATTGCCTATATCAGTATCTTAACATTGTTGCCATCATTACCCTTGAAACTTTCCACTCCATTGGCTGTAATTTCTCTGAACTGGAAATAGGAGCTTCCCATCTAATACATTATTGATATAAAAGGTGCTATCCTAAAAAATATGTTTCTCATTTTAATCCACCATTTCCAAAGATACAGATGACATCAGAGCCTGACGAGTCCCCTTTCTAATAAAATACTCTACTGAATACTTATTTGTGGTGTGGTTTGATATTTGTATGTTTTAGATAATTGGGATCAAACCATGAAACTTTTACTTCCTTGGTCACTTCATCTGCTCTTTTTTAGAATGACAGCAATTCATCAGGGTCGGGGGGACCAGTGAAAATAACAGAGAACCGATCAAAGAAGACCAGTTTCTTCCGTTGTTCGCTACTTTGATGAACTCTTTCTGAGAGACTGCAGCATACCTAAAGGACCCTTTCCTGCTTCTCTGAAAGCACAGGTCAGCCAGCCTCAGAGTCACACCGCCCGGCTGCTGCTGAGAGCACCACTGAACCTCGACTTCTCCACACAGAAGGCCACGTGCATTCCAGCCTCATGGCCTATCAAGAAAACAGGCTCTTTTTTTCGAACATGGAAGCAATGAAGTGGAGACATACGGAGGACTTAACTTGTTTTTCCTTGGTTTGTCCCAGAAGCTGCTACCTTTTCTTTTTCACTTTGCACATCAGTGTTAGCCTGTCCCTGCTACACCACAGTTTCAGACTCATATTTGCACACTTATGCCTCATGAATTCGAGACAAATTTGTGCGCTTGGGATGTTTGAAAAAAGTAAAACATTTAAAGCAGAGGTTAACATACTAAAAAGATATGGTCTGGGTCATGTGGCCAGATGTTATTGCATTGATAGAATTTTTTAAGGGCTCTAATTTGTGATTTCCTTAAATAAGAATCACTAAATTCTGATAAAAGTGATCTTAAAAATTCATAAAAAAAATGTCCATCTATTCGTCAGAGGCCACCATTCCTTTATTTCTTCGGATTGTTTAGAGTTTTGTTTCATTCCTGACCTTTTTGCTGGAGAGTTTGGGTAGCTGAATAAGTCACTTTTTCAATTGATTACCTCTCTCTGATCAATAGAAGCTACATTTGGAAATCACCTTAATCTTGCATTTCCTGGGGTTTGTATTTACTATTCTTGCCTATGTATGACCTATTGTAACCATGCCGTTATCAAAAACAACATATTTGAACATTGTTGTCTGTTTCTAATTGTGAACTTCTTGAGCTGAAATTTTACATAGGCAGAAAGATGTACCATTTAAGTCTTATTTTAGCATCTTATTGTGGTTCTGTCACATCAGCAATGTAATAGATGCAGTGTATTTTTTCTTAAGTTCACTCTTCAGCTTGCTGGCTTTATTTGTAATACCCAGTCCCTACTGTGATCCCTGTCTGCAAGAGTCAACAAGTATTAGATTTAGATTTTTGTCTGTAGAAAGCTTACCTATAGGGAGAGAGATTAACTTGTTGATATAAATGTAATAGAGATAGCTCTTGGTAATGGTGAACAGAATGATTTTTTGTTCTGTTTTTATTTGGACTTTTTTCTTTTTTCTTTTTTTTTTTTTGAACGAAGGTAATCAGACCTAGTGCAGCCTCTAGGTAAAGTCTTGCCTTTACGTTAGAGAAAATAGGAGCAAAGTTTCCATTGTAAAACAGCTGTTGTTGAATGCGTAGGACCCAGTTCCATCTGTTCAGGTTTGTGTTCTAGAACTCGGTCCAGGCATTTGGGCCAGCCAACCAAAAGCTTAGCTGCCTTTCTCACCAGACACTGGTACTGGTATACCTTTTGTAGATGAAACCTTCACATAAGGAAAAAAAAAAGCTGTTTAGCGTTAACTTATGTGCCAAATTCAGATCATCATGTTGTTATTCTAGCCTTCAGTGTTGTAATACGGAAAGGAGTAATGAATAGGTGATTAGGGAAATGAATTCTGTCAATAATTATTCTTCCTGTTAGGCCTTTTTTGTTTCATGAAGGTTACCATCATGCTTGATTGTTGAGAGTGAAGATGAAAATGGAAATGGATTGCTTGTTACCACAGAGCATCCTGCGTCAGATTAAGACGTAGCATTAGAATGCTTGGACCAGTCAAACGTTTACTACTTGTTTGAAAACTTATGTACAGTTTAGCAGCAGCAAATATACCAGAACGATTTTTGATGGATACACTAAACTTAATGTTGACAAATTTCAGCCTTCTTGATTTTTTTTTTTTTTTGTACTTACCTCTAGGCCTACAGGCACCTGTTGGCGTCCCCGTATAATCAGTAGTTGCTTGATTGAAAGTTGGTTGTACATCTACCATTTTAAAATTAGATACATTTTTGGAAAGAAAAAAATAATTTCTTAGAAACAGCTTGTATTTACTAATTTTCTGAAAAAGATCCAAGCAGTTACGCTTTCTGAATGGTAACGAAGTACTTTCTAAAAGGCAAGTGCTATGACACCATGTATGAATGTAATTCTCCTAGTAATTTACCTCTGACTATTTGGTGTCTTAACACTTTGGTTTCTTTCTCAGGGGTTGTCTGCAAACCAAAACTGACATATTCTGTGGTTAGCTTTTTTTTTTTTTTTTAAACACATTGCTTTGCTTTTGTTTCATTCCTTCTCTCTTCCTTTGCCTTATGTGGGTTAATAATTAGTCTCCGTGAACTTCCCTTTGAAAGAGCCTGTAAAAGTTAGATGAGTCTAAAAGTGCTCTTTGAAGTAGCAGCAATTTGGGAGTATATGCTCTGTTATATAGAAAAAAATCGTCCTTGCTATTTTCTTACATTTAGCTTTGCTAAATTGTATATAATTTGAGCTAAGACCATAGGAAATTCACTTTCTGCATGGTAAAATGACCCAATAAATATGCCACTTTGCTTAATAATGTACATATAGTGCATTATTTTTTCTATTTGTAGATGAATTTAGTGACAGATAATTGTCTGTTCCCTGCTGAAACTGAAGAAATCTAGTTTTGTGTGAACATGTTTGTGGTCTTATGGATAAGGTACATGAAGACTTTCGCAGCAGTATTCGTGGTTCAGTTGGCTGCACTTTATTATCAGTGTGCTAATTTTTTGACAATGATTGGACTAGACCTTTTCACCTAGAGTCTGAGGATATCAGACACTGAAAATGTGCTGTAACTCAGTAGCATGTAAACCAGTTAATTGTAAAACGTTTCACTGGGAATTTATTTTAGCTATGTTTTACTTCATACAGATTATGAGAAAATAATCCACCTGTGCATTGGTTAGGAGGTGCCGCAGGGTTTCTTACTATTTACATGAACATTTTATGCAGTCTTTGTTATAAATGTTCAGAAGACTATACTCTTTACTTTGAAGGACTATTTTTTAATTATACCTCATTTAGCTAACTAGTATTCTAATACCTGGTAGAAAACTGGTGAGCCAGCCTTTAAGCATCCAACACCCTTTAGATTATATGTTTTGTTTTGGACTAAAGACATCATTGGAAAAGGTAGGAGATAGTTTACTCTAGACTAGAACATACATGTCATATCCACTAATGCAAACAAGGTATGATCTCCCTGTCTCCATTAAGCAATTTAGCTGTGCAATATAGATGAACGTTTGCAGAAATTTCTAAGAGATTATAACTCCATTTTACAGATTCTGAATGCTAAGAATCTGTATTAAGACTTATAAAGTTTTTCCTGTGAACAGTGAGTGATGCATTTAAGCAGATTTTTTTTTCTAGTTCATGACTTAGCTTTCTTTATAAATTTAGTACTTAATCTTTAAAGATGAGCTTCTAAGCTTCAAATTTTAAAACAGCATTTCATTATGTTGGTTTCCTTATCTCAGATTTTAAGCACTCATTTCTGCTGTCAGGTTTTTTAGAATTTTTCTTTTAAGAAAAAGGACATTCCTTTTTCCCTTCTTGTTATATCCAAAGAAGGGAGGGAAATGGAATGTCCAAAAAAAAAAAAAATGAAATTCCTTGTCCTAGAGGGAATATGCCAATAAAATTTTTAATCCCAGCACAATTTTACAGAGAATCAGTCTTTTTTTTTTTTTAAGATTAATAAAATTAATGGGAGTCCTGTTCAGTATGAAAAAATCCTAAATGACTGAAATATACAGAAGTGAAAATCAGCAAACAATTATTTTAGGGATATTTTCGAATTTTACTTCGTTTTTTGAAATGCTTGTGCCATATGTGATTGCGTTTCTTATTGCCAAGAACTAATAGAACTTCCTGTTTCATTTTCTTACCTTTTTAAAAATGTGAACTTAATTATTATAATTCATTCCTACAGCCTTACAGATGGGTTTTATTTTGTTTGTTTGCGGCTGACACTGCAGTTCCTTCAGGGCAAAATGCCATAAACTATTTGACTAAAATCATGCCCCTAATGGGAAATACCTAGTTTTTCCATAGAATTATCCTTCTGTGTAGGTTTCAGCATATTTTATTTTTGCTTCAACAGCTTAATGTGAAAAGTTCCTGCAGATAAAGTGAACCTGTCATGTGGTTAATCTTGTTTAAGCCAATTCATTAACTATATACTGCTACGGATGCTGTGGTTTGTTTTGTTTTGTTTTTTAAATGGATTTTATTCCAGGTGAACTTTTTTTTACAATAATGTTCGTCTAAAATAAAAACTACATAATGAAAATGCTCATGACTCTGAAATGAATTGCACATTTAAAAAATGTTTCTTCAGATTTGCTAAGTGTATGAGTCAAACCGCGGTAGGCTTGAGCTACTTTAGAAACTTAATCTGACTTGGAATTGTTTAAAGACTCAGAAAAATGGCTGGATCTCCTGCTCATACCTTTTCAGAATACATTGAGCTGATTCTGTTATAGAACTGCAGCCTTAAATTGATCGTCCTTCCCTTCTTAGTCCTCCCAAGTTTAGTTTCTGTTGTTTGGTTTTTTTACTTCCAAACACCACAGATTGAGGCCTCAGCCCTGTTGCTGTTCTCCCACAATGCTTGTGCATGTTCCCGGTCGTAGCCTTTTGCGTTCATCCCACCACCATTTTGAACCTTCACTGTTCTCAAGCTTCCCACTTCTCTCCCTCTACTCTTGGTAGACAGGTCTTTCACCTCCTGCCTCTCAGAGAAAAGCATCAGTCAAAAACAAGGTTCTTAGCCATCTCTTTTTCCCTAATCCATAGCCTACCATGGGCCGGCACCCAACGCCACCCTCATCCTCACTCCTTCCTTTTGGGGCAGAGGCATCCCTTCTCTTCTATGCCTTTCTCACCACGGCCTCTTCTCTGCACTCAACCTCCCACCTCTGCCCTCCAGAGAACTCGCAGCTCTTTCTCTTCCACCTTCACACTCTTATCCCATGTTACACCCGTCCCCTCAGCATCTAAGCACCCATAACGCTCCAGCTGTTGGCCTTGTGTTTCTCTCACCTATTGCCCTTTTTCCTCTTCTTCCTGTTGTAGCTAAGCTTCTTCAAAGAGTTGCCTACAGTTACCATCTTCACTTTTTCGTTTTTCGTTTATTCCTCAGCCTACTCCAGTTTGGCTTCCCCTCCAGGCCCTTCACTGACATTGGGCTTACAATGGCCTAGTTGCTCAAGTAGCAGACAATTTTCAGTCCTTATCTTGGTTAACCTCTTGGCGGCATTTGACCAGTATATCTCTTCCTCCCAGAAATGTTCTCTTAGCTTCTGTGACAGTATTCTCCTGATTCTCCACTTCTCTAAAAATAATTTCATCCTTTTTCAAGACTCTTAAATGCTCATAACTTCTGTGATCAGCTGAATAATGGCCCCCAAGCATGTTCATGTCCTAATCCCTGGAACCTGTGAACATTGTTCTACATAGCAAAAGGAACTTCACGGATGTGGTCAAGTTAAGGCTCTTGAAAGGGAGGATTGTCCTGGATTATCAGAGCAGAGGATATGTAATCCCAAGGGTCTTTATGGGAGGGACACAGGAGGACTTGGAATCAGAAGGAAACCAAGGGATGACAGAAAGGGAGAAAAGGTGTGATCATGCAGGCCTGTGAGCCAAGGAATGTAAGTAGCCTCTGAGATCTGGAAAAGGAAAGAGAAGAGACTCTCCTAAAGCCTCCAGAAGGAACCAGCCTGGCCCTGACACTTTGGCTTTAGACTGGTAAAACTCATTTCATAATTCTGCCCTCCAGAACTCAATAAATTTGTGTTGCTTTAAGCCACTAAATTTGTGATTATTTGTTACAGCAACAATAGGAAACTAATACAGCTTTCAAGTTTGTATCTCTAGCCCCACCCTCTTTGCAGACAGGAAGACTTGCAAGTTGATCTGCTTATTGGACATCTCCCCTCAGATCTGCTACAGGTATGTCAAACAACATGTCTGAAACTCAAACTCAGCTTACCGTCTTTCCTGCTCCCCAGCAGTTCCCACCAACAGCCCTTAAACCCAGGAGGAGAAAGCTGTTCTCTCTCCTCTTTTCTCCCTCATGATAGATAGCACGATCATCTACCTAGATCGACACACAGTTCACCAGCCTCCAAGTCTCCTAGATCGAACACCTTAAGCTCTTCCTCATCCATCCACTTGTCCATTGTTTCTGCCCCTGTGTTCAGGCCTCATCTTTTGCCTAGATCTCTGCAACCTCTCCTAACCCGTTGCCCAGTCCCTACTCTTAGTTTCCTCCAAGCCATTTTCACAGTGCTGACAGGAATCTTGTCACTGTCAAATTTAATTCTTCAGTGGTACCTCATAACCTTGGGGTAGAAGCTAAACTTTTTAGCCTGGCAAATAAAGAGCTTTACCACTGCATCTTTCTCTCCAGCCTTGGATCTTGTCGTAGCCTAACTCACACCCATTTTGAACATCACCAGTAATTGCAGTTTCCCGAACACACCATGCTTTCTCATTCCTTTGCTTATGCTGCTCCTTTTACTGACTTCCTTTTTCTGGCTAACTCTTCCTCATCTTTCAAGACTCAGTAAGGGTTTCTCTGGGAAGACTTTGGGCACAACCCATCCAGGTTAGGAGCCCCCTCCTGTGTATGCCCAGAGTATCAGTGCTCTGGATTCGAACTGTCTGTTTATTCTCTTCCCTCTAGACTCTAAGCTCCTGTAAGTGCAGGGATCATGTCTTTAGCTTTTGTATCCATAGGATCCAGTAAGGAGCCTGGCACATAGTAAGAGTTTAATAAGCGTTGGAAGAGAATCAGTGAACTTCAAATTTACAAAATTAACATGTTGTTGAAGAAAGCTAAGTCATTTCGGAGCTGTTTTGTTTTCCATCTACTTCTTAATTGAAAGAAAAATTTAAGGTAGGGCCGCCTGGGTGGCTCAGTCAGTTAAGTTTCTGCCTTTGACTCAGGTCATGATCCCAGGGTCCTGGGATCGAGTGCTGAATCAGGCTCCTTGCTCAGCGGGAAACCTGCTTCTCCGTCTGTGTCTGCCGCTCTCCCGGCTTGTGCTCTCTCTCTCTCTCTGACAAATAAATAAAATCTTCAAAGGAAAATACAAAAAAGAGGAAAGTTTAAGGTAAATTCATTAATACCTCTGTAAGTACAGCAATAAAAAGAGAAGCTTCTTTATCTGTTTTTATTCTAGCCCTTACCTTACATTATTTTAATCTTTATTAAATATGGAATTTCCTTTTAATAAGATAAATCACCCAGAATGCTACTTATGTGTTGATAAATTGAGTAAACCTTTTCTCCCTTTTCTTCATGTATCCTACCCTCAAAATTTAGGTTTTCCAATATTAGTTCCAGGAATATATGAGGATGCCCCCTAGCAAATAAAATTAATTTCTGTCCCTCGGAAATGCTCTGCTTTCTCGCACTTTGAGGCCTTCCCACTTGTTCCTCCATTTCTTCCCTATTCTTATCTTTGCATTAGGCAGAGACCTGAATGAATGAATATCTTTAAGAAAACTTCACACATCTGGACTGGGTGCTCTTCCCCCTTCCTGTATATTCTCACAGCTCCCTATATCCACCTGTCTGGCACCGATGGCCTGCCTGATCAGTGTGTACCAGTGAGTGGTGTTGGTAGTGGCGGGGGTCGGGGCCCTCAGCTAAAGTCGCCAGTGAACGCGGCCTAGGCATCACGGTGGCCCCAGACGCCAAAAGGGGCGGAAAGCCTAGCGGTGAGGCCCGCTCCCGCCCCGCCTTCCAGCCTCAATCGCCACACCCCCCTCCGCCCGGCCCCAGCCCCGCCGAGGCACGCCGCCCAGCCTCCAGGCCCCTCCGCCCCGCTCCGCCCAGCTTCCAACCTCTTCCGCTGCGCCCCAACCCCCCCAACTCCTTCAACCCCCTCCGCCCTGCCCCAGCCCGCCCCTCGGCGCCCCGCCCTCCTCCAGCCCCCTCTGCCCCTCCTCCAGCTTCCTCCGCCCCTCCTCCCACTCCCTCCGCGGCGCTCCACCCCGCCCTCTCCAGCCCCCCACCGCTCCGCCTCCAGCCTCCTCTGCCGCGCCCCCTCCGCCCCTCCTCCAGCCCCCTCCGCCGCGCTCCGCCCCGCCCCCATCCCCTCCGCCCCGCCCCAACCCCCGCCGTGGCTCTCCGCCCCGCCCGCTCCAGCCCCCTCCGCCCCGCCTCCAGCCTCCTCCGCCGCGCTCCGCCCCCTCCGCCCCTCCTCCAGCCCCCTCCGCCGCGCTCCGCCCCGCCCCCATCCCCTCCGCCCCGCCCCAACCCCCGCCGTGGCTCTCCGCCCCGCCCGCTCCAGCCCCCTCCGCCCCGCCTCCAGCCTCCTCCGCCGCGCTCCGCCCCCTCCGCCCCTCCTCCAGCCCCCTCCGCCGCGCTCCGCCCCGCCCCCATCCCCTCCGCCCCGCCCCAACCCCCGCCGTGGCTCTCCGCCCCGCCCGCTCCAGCCCCCTCCGCCCCGCCTCCAGCCTCCTCCGCCGCGCTCCGCCCCCTCCGCCCCTCCTCCAGCCCCCTCCGCCGCGCTCCGCCCCGCCCCCATCCCCTCCGCCCCGCCCCAACCCCCGCCGTGGCTCTCCGCCCCGCCCGCTCCAGCCCCCTCCGCCCCGCCTCCAGCCTCCTCCGCCGCGCTCCGCCCCCTCCGCCCCTCCTCCAGCCCCCTCCGCCGCGCTCCGCCCCGCCCCCATCCCCTCCGCCCCGCCCCAACCCTCGCCGTGGCTCTCCGCCCCGCCCGCTCCAGCCCCCTCCGCCCCGCCTCCAGCCTCCTCCGCCGCGCTCCGCCCCCTCCGCCCCTCCTCCAGCCCCCTCCGCCGCGCTCCGCCCCGCCCCCATCCCCTCCGCCCCGCCCCAACCCCCGCCGTGGCTCTCCGCCCCGCCCGCTCCAGCCCCCTCCGCCCCGCCTCCAGCCTCCTCCGCCGCGCTCCGCCCCCTCCGCCCCTCCTCCAGCCCCCTCCGCCGCGCTCCGCCCCGCCCCCATCCCCTCCGCCCCGCCCCAACCCCCGCCGTGGCTCTCCGCCCCGCCCGCTCCAGCCCCCTCCGCCCCGCCTCCAGCCTCCTCCGCCGCGCTCCGCCCCCTCCGCCCCTCCTCCAGCCCCCTCCGCCGCGCTCCGCCCCGCCCCCATCCCCTCCGCCCCGCCCCAACCCCCGCCGTGGCTCTCCGCCCCGCCCGCTCCAGCCCCCTCCGCCCCGCCTCCAGCCTCCTCCGCCGCGCTCCGCCCCCTCCGCCCCTCCTCCAGCCCCCTCCGCCGCGCTCCGCCCCGCCCCCATCCCCTCCGCCCCGCCCCAACCCCCGCCGTGGCTCTCCGCCCCGCCCGCTCCAGCCCCCTCCGCCCCGCCTCCAGCCTCCTCCGCCGCGCTCCGCCCCCTCCGCCCCTCCTCCAGCCCCCTCCGCCGCGCTCCGCCCCGCCCCCATCCCCTCCGCCCCGCCCCAACCCCCGCCGTGGCTCTCCGCCCCGCCCGCTCCAGCCCCCTCCGCCCCGCCTCCAGCCTCCTCCGCCGCGCTCCGCCCCCTCCGCCCCTCCTCCAGCCCCCTCCGCCGCGCTCCGCCCCGCCCCCATCCCCTCCGCCCCGCCCCAACCCCCGCCGTGGCTCTCCGCCCCGCCCGCTCCAGCCCCCTCCGCCCCGCCTCCAGCCTCCTCCGCCGCGCTCCGCCCCCTCCGCCTCTCCTCCAGCCGCGTCCGTCGCTCCCAGCCCTCTCCCCCGCGCCGAGCTCAGTTCTGTCAGCGTCCGCTGCACCTCGCGTCCCCGTCAGGCCTCCGGGCCGGCTTCCGCGGTCGCCATGACGGCGGCCGTGTTCTTCGGCTGCGCCTTCATTGCCTTCGGGCCTGCGCTGGCCCTCTACATCTTCACCATCGCCACCGAGCCGTTGCGCGTCATCTTCCTCATCATCGGGTGAGGCGGTTGCTCCGGGAAACCCGGACCCGGGGCGCTCCTCCCCCGCCGGAGGTACCGGCGACCCCCGGCGTCCCCGCCAAACGGCTCGACCTTGTTGGGCTTTGGAGGGGAGAAGGGTTGGGAGGGGGAGAGCCGAGATCCCGCTTTCCTGGTATTCCTCGTCCTCCGAGGGTCGGCGGGAAAAGAAAAAGAGCCCCGGGACCCCACGGGGCGGGCTTTGGGGAGGGAGCTCACACCGTGGGTCTCAGAAAACCCTGATGCATGGCTCCTGAGTTTTTGCCGAGGGTCCGTGGGTGGGCTCTAGTGAGTTGTGAAGCCATTAAAATTGTATGGAAAAATTGTGGGTAAGTTCAAATATCCATCTCTTATTTTAGTGGAGGGGGTCCCTCATTTCCCTCAGATTCTCACAGGCATCTGTAATCAATCCCAAAAGGGTTAAGAGCACATTGGCCCCGGAGTTTAGGTGCTTTAAAACATACCCATGCCCGACCCCTACCCCAGATCAGCCAAATTGTAATATCTAGGGGGTGGGATTCGGGCTACGGATTTTTTTTTAAGCTCCCCAGGTGATTCAGGTGTACAGCTAAAGGGTGGAAACCCGTGAAAACACCGAAACACCTGTCAGTGCATCTCTTTGCAGGAGCTTGGTAAATACTGAACTCTTGCGGCGAATGTGGTCATAATCCCGATTTTCAGTTGTCTGGCAGCTCTTCCGGGGCTCCCTACGTCCCCCTCCACCTTTGAGTCTCACTTAGTACCGGGAGAAACAGCCTCGGTAGGCCAGTGTTAACCACCTTTTCTGAGCTGCTTCACCTCTCACAACTATTGAAAGTGCCGCGTCAGATGTGTGTCATTTTAAAAACAGTAGAGATTTGGGCAAAAGGTTTGTAAAGCTTGTTATAATCATTAAAATCCACAGGTATGTTGTACAAGCCAGGCCTGGAAAGCTGACTTAGATTTCAACAGATTTTCAACCTCTGAATTTTATACCAGTTACTCTGTTAATAGAGATGTAGACCTTTTTTTTGGGGGGGGGGGGGAAGACATATTTATGTATCAGTGGGCATGGGCAAAGCATTAATTAGGAAGAGTAGCAAATAACCAGGTTTCTAGCTAGATAGTCCTTAGCAGATAGTCTCCAGGTGTACTTTAGAAACAGCAGGGCCACTGAAAAAAAATGGTTGTTAGGAAAAAATCTCACATTCCTCTTGGACTGCATGTTCATCTCACCAGGGAAAATGAACCATTGATTAAGAACAAGTGATCCAGGGCATCACTTTAAGAGGACTTTTTCCCCCCTCTTATTAAAAAGCCAGGAAATCCTGTTCCTTCTCAAGTAGAGTTTTTTCACTTTTAAATCATTATTAATCCTGTTCACTTATACCCTTTTCCCCCTCTAATTTTCAGAGCTTTTTTCTGGTTGGTGTCTCTGCTGTTTTCCTCCCTTTTTTGGTTCATGGCAAGAACCATTACTGACAACAAAGATGGACCAATACAGAAATATCTGCTGATCTTGGGAGTGTTAGTCTCAGTCCTTATCCAAGAAACGTTTCGGTTTATGTATTATAAACTTTTAAAGTAAGTTAAAATTTGCTTTACCTTTTTTTCATTTATATTTGAATTATGATTTAGTAGTTTGAAACACTAATATAGTGTGGTAGTGAGGGCCTGTGCCTTCCTACAGAGTTGAAAGTCAAGTGATTGTACATTCCCAGCCTGAAAATATTGAGTATTTTTTTTTAAGATTTATTTATTTTAGAGAGTGCGTGCGCATGGGGGGTGGGGCAGAGGGAGAGCACAAGAGGGAGAATCTCAAGCAGACTCCCTGCCGAGAGTGGAGCCCACTCAACTTGGGGCTTGATCCCACAACCCTGAAACATGACTGGAGCCGAAATCAAGAGTGGACACTCAACCGACTGAACCACCCAGGTGCCCTGCAAATATTGAGTATTAACTTGTGGACATTTCTTCCTTCACTCATTCAAAAAATATTTCTTGAGAATTTATTCAGTGCCAGGCACTGTCCTAGGCACTTGGGGATATATGATGATTAAAAGACAGTCTCTGTCTTCATGGAGGTTATAGTGGAAAGAGACAACACTGAATGAACAAGAAAATACTTGTATGCTAGAAGATAATAAGTGCCCTGCAGGAAAATAAGCTAGAGAAATAGTCATTGAAACAACAACAAAAACTGTTCCAGCTTAGAATTGATGTGTGCTTCTCTTTGCCACCACTGAAAATAAATCATTCTTATGGAGATTATACCTATCATTATTTTGACTGTATTGCGGGATAACAGGGGTTTATTTTGTGATATTTCATGTGATTTCATATCTATAATAGAAAAATATATTTAAAAAGCCATGGTTATGAGTTCCCTTTTTAGGCCAGGAAGTAGGTCATCAGTAGGATCCATGAGGACGTCACATGAAACCACTGATTTGAAACACAGCTTGAACTTGGAACCATATTTTCTTTCAGGCAGTCATGAGGTTGGCTTTGATTATGTAGTAAGGCTTATAAAGTGATAAGTGTGCTCTTTTTATTTCTGAAAATGAGATAATTAAGGCATTCCACAAATTTCATGTATGTAATCAAGACAGAACCTCAACAACATCTTTTGTAATAGGCTTCTGATCATTTGTTCTTGCCAGTATGCCAGGCCTTCTATATTTTTTACTTGTTGCTTTTAAAGATTTTACATATTTATTTATTTATTTAAAGTGTCGGGGGTGGGGAAGGGCAGAGGGAGAGACAATCTTAAGCAGGCTCCATGCTCAATGTGGAGCTTGATGCGGAACTCCATCTCACAACCTTGAGATCATGACCTGAGCTGAAATGAAGAATCAGAGGCTTAACCGACTGAGCTACCAGGTGCCCCTACTTGTTGCTTTTTTCTTTTTTTAAAGATTCATTTATTTATTTTAGAGAGGGGGGTTAGAGGAGGGAGAGGGAGAATCTCAAGCAGACTCCACACTGAGTGGAGATCTCATGGGGCTCTATCTCATGACCCTGAGATCATGACCTGAGCCAAAACCAAGAGTTGGACGCTCAACCAACTGAGCCACCCAGGCGCCCCCTTACTTGTTGCTTTTAATAACAGATATTGAAATTTAATAATGAAGAAATTTTAATTACAAAGAGCAAACCAGGAAGCCATTGCTTAGAAGCAAAAGTCTTAGAAAAGGTTTAAAAATGAAATTTCCATTAGTTTTTGGAAATATTAAAGAGCAACAACCAAATACCAACAATTACATTTAAGTTTCCACAAGAATACAATCCTTAACAGATGGACCATCTATTCAGCTGTGGTTGAATGTTTCTGGTATGTAGCAGTTACTTTCATTCCAAAATTTAATTTTAACTGTAGAATATATTCAGGTAATCAAAATCTCCCTCTTTCTAACCCCTGCCCCACATAGCCAAATGAAATCCCTGTTACATGGTTGTCATCTTGTCTCTTTCAAGGCTACACATACCTCATTTCTTCACCTGGCCCTCAGAAGACATAGATGTGGCTTCTAAACCTTTTCCATGTCTTTTATGTCGGTAGACACCCCTTTTTGTTAGTGCCTGGAGTTTATCTGTGCTTAGGACCCAGCACAGTACACTGGTGTGGTCGAAGTAGTACAGAGATCAGTGGCCTCTTGCACCCTTGCTTGGGCACTGTACTCTTAACTCAGTCTCAGGTTGCACTGGTTTTTTCCTGTCAGCAACATCATTGGCTCATGTTGGTTTTGCATTTTCACGTATGTTGGTCCTACTTTTGAAGTAGACCTAATTTTGAATAGATCTTCACAGTTTAGGGACATGGGTTTAATAACCCCTTAGGATATTAGGTTCTAAAATCCAACTTACTAAAATGACTAAATCTGCTGTTCTTTACCACCTTGTTTCGTCCTGGATTCTACCTGGAATGCAACCTTTTATTGGCACTGTCCTACAGTTCTAAAGGACTACAAGCTGAACATAGGTTGCCATTTGTACGGGAAAGGAATTACAGGTCAGTCAAGGCTTTCATGCCACCAAGTTCAGAGAAGCCTCTTTGGCCTTCTAGGGAAACCATGATATTTCCTCTGAAAGGGCCTTTGGAAATTAGCAAAGAGATAATAGGACAAACCTGTATTAACAGGTGCCTTTATGCTGCCATTGCAAAATGCATCTCCACCAAGCCTTTGGATTATTGTACAGTATTTTTCTAGCAAGTTTTAGACATGTTGGCTGTCATGTAGTTATATGTTAAAACAAGTTTGAAAATTATTATGGTACTTTATTCATGACTAACATATAAATATGTTTAACTTGCTCTCATATGCTGTACTATATTCAAATATAGGAACTTTGTTTAATTACTATTTTAACTATCTCCACTTCCAAAGTAGGTTTTCAAATTTAAAGTACTGCCTCAATCACCTTTTTGCTGTCTGAATTTGGTGCCAAGATTAAAACGTGGAAGGTTTGTACCAGTTTTTTACATATATGAAACTGAATCAAAATATTTATCACTGCAGTCTAATATAGATTTATTTCATGGGTCAGGCCTCGGGAAGTGCTTCATCTTGAAGAATGAATAAATGAATTGTAACTTTGAGCCTAGCAAAGAGCTGTACTGTGAGAAACTGGCATGTGGCCACAAGTGATAGTCCTTCCTATAGTAATTTCGTTAAAAATCCAAATTATGGTTGCAAACATTGCCTAAAACATACATTAAACATTTTTTAACTTGAAGCTTTTGTAAGTTAATCCAGTTTTGTCGTATAATGCTGATAGCATAAATATTTCCTAATTTTAAAACATCTTCCATTTATAGAAAAAAACATAATCATTACTACAATTTTTTTGGGGGGGTACCAAATTACTTTATTTGAAGAATGGTACAAATGAAAGAAGTTAAGTAGATGTTTTGGTACAACTTATAGAAAAGGTAAAGGTAGGGCGCCTGGGTGGCTCAGTTGGTTAAGCGACTGCCTTCGGCTCAGGTTGTGATCCTGGAGTCCCGGAATCGAGTCCCACATCGGGCTCCCTGCTCGGCAGGGAGTCTGCTTCTCCCTCTGACCCTCCCCCCTCTCATGCTCTATCTCATTCTCTCTCTCAAATAAATAAATAAAATCTTTAAAAAAAAAAAAGAAAGAAAGAAAAGGTAAAGGTAACCCCAATATGCATGCACTGCCTAGGTGACCAGGGAAGTCACCCTTGTGGTTATGGGAAGACAGCCTAAGGCTTAGCTCTCACTATCACTGTTTCCCAAGGTGTGCTACTACAATTGTTTTTTAAGATTTTATTTATTTATTAGAGAGAGTATGGGGGGGGCGGGGAAGGGCCAAGGAGGAGGGAGAAGAAGAAGCAGACTCCCCACTGAGCAAGGAGCCCAAGGCCAGTCTCCACCCCAGGACCCCAATTAAAAATTGGACTTTTTTGGGCACCTGGGTGGCTCAGTTTGTTGGGCAACTGCCTTCAGCTCGGGTCATGATCCCGGAGTGCCGGGATCGAGTCCCATGTCGGGCTCCCAGCTCGGCAGGGAATCTGCTTCTCCCTCTGACTGTACCCCCTCTTGTGCTCTCTCTCTCTCTCTCAAATAAGTAAATAAAATAAAATCTAAAAAAGAAATTGGACTTTTTCTTTTTTGTTCTTGGAAATAGTAATAAATGTAAACAGAGAATTTTCTGCTTCAGTAAAATGGTCAAGTTAAAAACACTGTACCTGGGGCGCCTGGGTGGCTCAGTTGTTATGATCCTGGGGTCCTGGGATCGAGCCCCGCGTCGGGCTCCCTGCTCTGCGGGAGGCCTGCTTCTCCCTCTCCCACTCCCCCTGCGTGTGTTCCCTCTCTCGCTGTCTCTCTCTGTCAAATAAATAAAATCTTTAAAAACAAAACAAACAAAAAAAAACACTGTACCTTACATCATTGATCATATGTTCTATATCCATCAGGAACATGGAAGCTAATGGTGTTTTCTACTTTTTCATTTCCTAATGTTAGCATTGAGAACGGTTAATGCCAGACCTTTCCTCTCACAAACTTGCAACATAGAATGAGGAAGTTTATTGAACTTTTGAATTTATACATTTAATACATTTGTGATAGCAATACCTTGCTGTACCAGATAGCAAAAAATCTTTTATTCATTATTGAGCAGTTTATATAAAACAAATCCTCCAAAATTTGATTCTGTTGTACCATTATGTCTACTTGTTGGTAGAGATTATTACTATCATATATATATGTCTCTAAGCTTTAATTAGCCTTTAACAACATTCCTGTGACAGGTTATTTTATTTAGGAAAATCGAACATCTTAGTTGGTTACTGCTCCAGAGAAAGATGATATAGCCACTTAGGGGCACCTGGGTGGCTCAGTTGGTTAAGCGACTGCCTTCGGCTCAGGTCATGATCCTGGAGTCCCAGGATCGAGTCCTGCGTCGGGCTCCCTGCTCGGCAGGGAGTCTGCTTCTCCCTCTGACCCTCCTCCTCCTCATGCTCTCTGTCTCTCATTCTCTCTCTCAAAAAAAAAAAAAAAAAAAAGAAAGATGATATAGCCACTTAAGTTTTGATTAATGTCCTTGCTACTAAATAATGCTTCTAAATGGAGAGCCCGGAAATGGCAAATTGTTTCTTTAGAGTCTAGAAAAGCAAAAGGCCCTTTTCATTATGCTTATTACTATTTTGGTTGAATTCTGCATTGCCTTAATTTAAGGTAATCAATGATATTTATATTTATGTAATGAATAGGCCAGCTATATTGAATATGCATACCTTGAAATTTAAATTAACACAATGCCCAGAATGTAAGTATGTTCTGGTTAATTTAATTTTCTACTCTTAGAGTTAACCTAACTCATTTTGTTTCAGCATTTAGTGAAAAATCAATCTAAAATGTTTGGTTTCTTTATTGCTTTAACAAATATACCTTCTCATAAATATAATGTAAATACCCTTTGAGTCCGGATCATTGTTGCAGAGTTTCTAGCCAACAAATGTTAGTAATAGTGACAGTAATAAAACTGACAGCCACACCTTACATTCTTACCTAACACATCTGCATGGGAGCAGGGACTCATGATAAGTATGTGAATTGTTCCCAACAGAAGCACAGATATGATCACTCTGAAGATCATTTCTTATTGAGCAGTATTCTAATGTTTCATTTAGGTATTCATTTATCTCCTTTTCTGAGGGTAGCATTTTATTCTTCTCTGATTAATTCTCCCCTGAAGCCTGATTGGGATATGAAACAAATATGTAGAATATTTTATCATCTGAAGATCATATGATTAAGTTACCCATATGAGAGCTCAGACCATGGGCATTCTAGGATTTAAGAGTAAGGAGAGATTAGCGATTACCAATCATTAGTAGAGGTGAATTCTTTGAGAAACTGCTGACTAAATGAGACTTTGGAGGATGAGTATAATTTAGGTTCTGCGAAGTGGAAGGTAAAAGGGAGGGTAGCAAACTAGCTATAACCCAGGCGGGAGATACTACAAAGTGCCAACAAACGAGGATTGAAGATCTAGTACTTTGGGGAGAGGGAAAAATTCAGAGTGACGGAGGCCATAGGATATTGAATTAAAATTTTTTAAAAAGATTTTATTTATTTATTTGACAGAGAGAGACATAGCAAGAGAGAGAACACAAGCAGGGGGAGTGGGAGAGGGAGAAGCAGGCTTCCCGCCAAGCAGGGAGCTGGATATGGGGCTTGATCCCAGGACCCCAGGATCATGACCTGAGCCAAAGGCAGATGCTTAACAACTGAGCCACCCAGGCGCCCCTTGAATTAAATATTTACTGAGCTCAGAAAGTAGTCAGAACCATTGCTTTTTTTCTTACTAATTTAATCCCTGATGGCTTGTTTACTTATATTTTTTTCTTATTTTTTTCTCTTCTATGTGAAAAGTCAGATAAAAGGCAAAGTTGGTTGGAAATTTTGGTTGATTTTAATTGAAAATTTGCTGGGTTTTGTATAAGTGGATTTCATTTTATTTTGTTTACTATTAGGTTTTACTTTTATTCCAGTTATCATACAAGATAATATTAGTTTCATTTCTACAATACAGTGATTCAACACTTCCATACATCACCGGTGCTCATCACAAGTGTACTCCTTAATCCCCATCACCTATTTAGCCCATCCCCCCACCTACCTCCCCTGGGGTTACCATTTGTTTGTTCTCTATAGTTAAGAGTGTTTAAATGGATTTTAGATTCAAGGTATAACCTGATTAGAAGCCTCAATAAGTATCTAGATTTTGAAATACCTTGTGTTTTTTCCTGATATACTGCTTTTTCTTTTAAAAAATTGTGTGGTTTTATTTTAGAAAAGCCAGTGAGGGTTTGAAGAGTATAAATCCAGATGAGACAGCACCTTCTATGCGATTGCTGGCCTATGGTAAGTTGGAACTGCATAGTGTCATTAAGAAAAAGCCAGACTTGACATAAAGGCCATTTTTATTTTTTGTATCTTTGTAGGGTTTTTTTTTTTTTAGAAAAAAGATTTACCCATTTGAGAGAGAGTGCTTGCACCCATGCAGTGGGGGGCGGGGGGAGCAGAGGGAGAGGAAGAGGGGGAGAGAGAGAATCTCCAGCAGACTCCCCACTGAGCTTGATCCCATGACCATGAGATGACCTGAGCTGAAATCAAGTCAGAGACTTAACAGACTGAGCCACTAGGCACCCCATCTTTGTAGATTTTAATTTCTTTTTTTTTTAAGATTTTATTTATTTGCGAGAGAGAGAATGAGAGACAGAGAGCATGAGAGGGAGGAGGGTCATAGGGAGAAGCAGACTCCCTGCTGAGCAGGGAGCCTGATGCAGGACTCGATCCCGGGACTCCAGGATCATGACCTGAGCTGAAGGCAGTCACTTAACCAACTGAGCCACCCAGGCGCCCCTGTAGATTTTAAATAGTATTTTATTATTGCCTTGGCCTTTTGGTGTACATTGTTTATTTTTCTAGCTTTCCAGGACCATTATATAAAGGGAAGTAATTATAGGTGACCTGTATGTCCATTAAATTGCCAGGTTTGAAAGTTGGGCTTTTAATATGCATATACTCTAGTTAACGGTTTTTAAGTGATATTACTGTTATCTTCTCTGGGTGGTTACCATGACTTTGGCTGTGGTAGGAGGACTTTTCATATTAATACAGTTAATACCTCTGCAGGGTTTTCTTTCAGAATTATGTTTTAAAGATTGGATCTAGATCCCTAAGTTGAGTCACCCTAGTTTGACCCAGGGATTACTTTCTACTATAGGCAGTCATCCCTCAAGCTCGGTTCCAGTTTTAAGCCCTCATACTTAATTCTACAGACTTTTATCATAAATCAAAGTCAGAACTTCAGCATTGTGTCCTCTGTCTTGCCTATTGTTTCTGTGCCTTTCTAGATCTTTTTCTTTTTTCATTTCTCTGCTACATTCCACTGTTCATTTCCCTTCCTTTTACACCCTTCTCTGTTTATCATTTAGCCAAGTACTCACCTTTCCTAAGCCAGCCTTCCACTGCTTCTCCAACAGCATGCATACCGTTTCCCCTTTAAGATAGTATTCTCTAGTCCTTGGAAACTTGATTTGAAGAGAAATCATAGCCTGAAAAGGGTCTAACGTGTTTCTCCCTCTTTAGTTTCTGGCTTAGGCTTTGGAATCATGAGTGGAGTATTTGCCTTTGTAAATACCCTTTCCGACTCCTTGGGACCAGGCACAGTGGGCATTCATGGAGATTCTCCCCAGTTCTTCCTAAATTCAGGTATGTGCCTACTAGTTATGAATGTTCAGTCTTCTGGTCTAAATAATCATCCTTATTGGAGTTCTCTGGCTTAGGAATTCAAAATTTAAATTTATATGATACCTTCTAAAGGCAAAATACTGTTAGATATCAGAAGTAAAGGATGTAGGAAAATAAAAATTTTGGTTAGAGTATTTTAGAATTTTGGGGTGGAATTTAGCATATATAAAATTTATTTTTATTTTACTATACTAATGTTGATGTGTAGTTGATGTATTATAAGTGAATTTTTATAGGCTATATGCTTTTTTATTTTTATTGGTTTGCATTTATCTTCAGTATAAGCCTTAGTCTTTAATTAGTCATCTTGGTCCCTTTTTGGGATAAGCAGTATAATTGAAATTTGAAATTGAGAGGAGGGAAAATGCTTCTTATTTAATGTAAACTAATATTATGCATCTAAAATGTACATTTAAACATATCTGTATCATTTAAGGAATAACAACCCCTTCTTCGCTTTTTCTTAAGAACTAGAACATTAACAGAGTACTTAGAGTCCCTTGTTTCTCATTGTTTTTTCCCCACAGGTAACTATTGCCCTGATTTTGTGTTATTAATTCCCTAGGTTAACCAGGTTTGAAAGCTAGGTTTTTAACATATATACATGTTTTGTTTTGAAGGTAAAACATGAAACTTTTACCTTCATGTATGTATCTGAAAAAAATTAAGTTTTCCTGCTTTTGAAACATTTAAAAATAAATCATGCTATATTCTTTGAAAAAAGAAGTTGAGAGGAAAAAATGATAATAGATGAGTTGGCCTTTTTATCCAAAGATGCAGTAGAAAAGGACCAGCTCATTTCAAACTACTTTTTCATCCACCAGGTGAAAAATTGTCATCATGATGCAGTGATCATGCATTTGAGAGTTGTAATGTACATAATTAACATAAAATTTCTCTTAAATTTTCAAGAGGAATCTTTTAAAAATGGTTTTAAGAAAATTCCACTGTATTTTTTTATCTCTACAAGTTATATTATTAAATTAAGTGACCCCCCCATGCATATATCCTATTAATTAAATATTATTTAACATCTATACTAAAGGAATTTCTGTCCTCAAGGAGCTTACCCTCTAACAGAGAAAATAAAACTAAACAAAAGTGAATAACTATTTTAATACAGTTTAAGATAATAATAGAACCAGATATAGGAATGTATGCCCAGATTTTAAAAACTGCTGCAGTAGTTCACAGTCATCCTGCCTGTTATAGTGATCCCTAAACCCTGTGGATTCTTGTTCCTCATTTTAGTGCAGGCCTTGGTATCTCTTGTCTAGATTACTTCCATCAACCCCCAACTGGTTAATCTTTCCTCAACCCACTTTCATGTGAATGGGGCCTGTATGTATGCAGCCACCAAATGATCTTCCCTGTACAAAAAAGTATAATGACTTTCCAAGATCTGTCCTTTCTAAGGAATAAGTCAAGGCCTATTACATCAGGCTACAAGTTCAAGGGTTGGACTTACTTAGTGGTGCCTCCAGCAAAGCAGATTTTCTTCATTTTAAGCATTCCACAATTAGAATATTTCTGACAGTTTTTTGATGAATTATAATAATGAGTGTTAGGTTTTTAGAACAAATGTAATGTTAATAGCTAACATCTGTTAGAGCCCAATATAAATTAACAAAACATAATCAGGAGGGGGTATTACTGCCACAGTTTTCTATATTTTCTGAAAGTGGTCTATTATACTGTTACATAAGCAATTTTCGTTTGGTTCGAGTAGCATTCTCCTAGTGGAATTTATTTTTCTGCTAGCTTCTTTCACTAGATGGTGCTAATTCCCTTTCATTAAGACTAACTTAAAATGATTCTTTTGGAAGAAAGTGAAAGAAAGATGTGCTGGCAGTTTGGGGGTTGTATTTGCAATTTCTATAAATTCAAGGGAAAATTCAATATTCAAAAGAAAATAAAATAGTTTAATGTCTTTAGCAGTTAGGATGCCTGACCATGCTATGAATATATACCTATAGAGTAAAAGAACAGTATTTTATCGTATGCAAGAGTTTATTTATTATAGCATCATTGTTTGGAGCATAAACTTTGAATTGTACATTTAAGAAATTACTTTTCATCGCATTTTAAAATAGTAACCCCAAATTTATATATATTTGTGTTTGTTGTATGTATTATTTATAACTGCTACTGTTACCACTTATTTAGGCATGAGCTCATTTTTAATTTGTCAGTTAAATCTGTAAGTTTATATGTTTAGCATATTTCATTACAAATGCCTAACTAGTAATCAGAATAAATAAGGCCTATGGGATCACTAATTAGTGTATTTATGTTAGTATTAGAGATGCACTGTATGATACCTGTGTGTACATAGGTTTTCATGTTACAGGTAGGCATAGTTTATAAGTAATATGTATGTATAATTATTTTTTACTTGTAGTTGTGTAGTATTAACTTTTCTTAGAATCATTACCATTTCGGGGCGCCTGGGTGGCTCAGTCGTTAAGTGTCTGCCTTCCGCTCAGGTCATGATCCCAGCATCATGGGATCGAGCCCCGCATCAGGCTCCCTGCTCCTCGGGGAAGCCTGCTTCTCCCTTTCCCACTCCCCCTGCTTGTGTTCCCTCTCTCACGGTCTCTTTGTCAGATAAATAAATAAAATCTTTAAAAAAAAAAAAAAGAATCATTACCATTTCTTAGTAATGCAATATAAAGGCAAAAGTATGGAAATTGGAGTCCTAAGTTCAAGTCTTATTCTGGCTCATTAATTTAGTATTTTGGGCAAGTCCATTTGATTGTTTAATCACTCATTCCACACATGAGTATTAAGTATTTTTATTAAATAGAAGTTATACCAAGCTGTGACAATACAGTTTAGTTAATGCCTATACCTTTCACTCATAGTGGGAAATAAAGACAAACAGCTGATTATAATAAAGTGTGACAAATGCTATGATGAGGAAGAACCACGAGCACACAAAAGTCAAGCTCTAACTCACACTCCTGCACTTGTAATTAACGGGTCAACTATGTTGTTATTTACGTCTCTCCAGCCAGATGCTAAGCCTTTTAAGTGCAAGGACTGTGTCTGTTTTGTTCACCTCAGCACTTTGTGGAGTCCTTTATTGCTAGATGGATTCAAATATTGATTGAAAAAATGAAAGCTAGGCACAGCTTATGGAGGAAGTGCTATTTGACTAGAAACTGAAAGGACGAGTAATAGCTAGCAGGCAAAAGAAGGAGGTTGTCGGGGAGGAATGTTCCCAGTGGAGGGAAGAGGTGTCTTCCCTGCTGGCCTAGAGGTAAGAAAGACATTTTTCATTGGGCAAAGGAAGTACTGGACTTCTGTCTAACTCTCAATTTCCTCATCTTTCAGGAAGAACAAAAATAATACCTAGCTCAGAGTTGTAATGAATTAAATGAAGTTAATTTAGAAAGTATATATTTAAGTGATCTAATAAACTTTAAAATGGCCTAAAGATAGAAAATTTGGTTCTTGAAATTAAAAAACAGAATTTAGAGGATAATTTCTTTATGTGGAATTTGGGTTTATCACTCTGAATTGCCTCCCTTACGCTTTAGAAGAAAAATGTCTTTAGTACTCAGTCAGAAGGGAAGGTAATACTTTATTTTTAAAACTTCTCCAAATCAGGGGCACTAGGGTGGCTCAATCAGTTGACTTTCTGACTCTTGATTTGAGCTCAGGTCATGATCTCAGGGTCATGAGATCAAACCCCACATCGTCGTTGGGCTCTGTGCTCAGCAGGGAGTCTGCTTGAGATTCTCTCCCTCTTTCTACCCCTTCCCTGCTCATGCCTGTGATGTGCTTGCGTGCACACGTTCTCTCTCTCTCAAATCTTTAAGAAAAACCAAAACTTCCCCCACATAATTTCATTTATATTTTCTTGGCAGTGCTCCTGTTAGGTAAGGTTTTAAACTTTTTAGCCACTTACTAGGAGAAATCAATACAGGTCAGACCCCATGTGGAGTATCATGTTCAGTTCTGAACATGGTGATTTAACAGGAATACTGAAGAACTAAAATTGGTACAGAAGAACAGTGTGAGTATGGTGAAAGACCTAGAAATGGTATCTTATGGGGGCTGATCGAAGGAAGAGGAATGTTAAACTTGAAGGAAAATAAAAATAAGAGGAATATAAGAGATTCCATTTTTGTCCCAATTTGTCATTTCCTTTTATAGAATTCCACACCCTTGCATGGCCTCATGGTGGTGGCCAGGATATACTTCCCTACCCCTGAGGTTGAACTCAGTTATGTGGCTTCCGTTGGTTAATTAGTGAATGTAAGGTAAGTCAGAAGCTAAAATACCACTTGCATGGGCGCCTGGGTGGCTCAGTCGGTTGAGCGACTGCCTTCGGCTCAGGTCATGATCTCAGGTCCTGGGATCGAGCCCCACATCGGAGAGCCCGCGGGAAGCCTGCTTCTCCCTCTCCCACTCCCCCTGCTTGTGTTCCCTCTCTCGCTGTGTCTCTCTCTGTCAAATAAATAAATAAAGTCTTTTTAAAAATAAATAAATAAAGTAAAATAAAATACCACTTGCATGGTTGGGCCTGCGCTTTTGGACTCTGGTCATACTCCATGAGAATATGTCCTACATAATTAATGCCCACTTGACCTCGACCCCAGAATGAACACGTATAGGGCAGACCTGTGTGCAATAGCAGTAAGGAGTCAAACCCAGCTGTACCAGCAGCCTACAGCGGTGCTGCCCGGCTGAGCCCAGCCTTAATCAGCCAAAGCACAGCCTTCGGACCAATGAGCAGGAGAATAAATCCTTGGTGTTGTAACCCAGTGAGTTTCTTTTTTCATACATTCATTTTTTTGCAACAATATTTTAAGTATCATCTTTGTAATATGTCAAGTTTGTTACATGTTTAGACTTTATTTTATTTTTAAAGATTTTATTTATTTGACAGAGAGACAGAGAGGGAACACAAGCAGGCTTCCCGCGGAGCAGGGAGCCCGATGTGGGACTCGATC